CCTTTTGAGCCGTTTAATCTCACCAGCAAAGAGATTTCCCAAGGCCATCGTGATGAAAATCACTAATGCAAATTCAGTTAATCACGAAATCCGTAGTCAGCTTTCTGGATGACTACGAACCGCAAGAAGACAACCGTTATTTCACACATATCAAGCTTCTATTGTATTTCAATTAATTGGGGCAAATTGGTAGGGCCGTAAAGAATTGCCAAATACTAAACGTAATCAGTAGCCTAACTAGAAGTATTTTTAAATAAGAACTTATTAACATCATAATAATATCAAGTATAATTTTGTATTCAATTTAATTGAAATCAGAGTCGGGATCAATTGACTCCCTTTGTTAACTACACCCCTAGTTAATTTCTTACAATAAAATATCATACAATTTTTTAAAGTTAGGTTTGCTTTTGAATATACTGAAATTTGAAAAAGATACATTTCCTAGTCGTATATACAAATATACATTTAATTTAATTTCACGATGAAGAGAATTTTAATAATCAGTTCAATCCGGCGACTAAATATCTTGTAATTCAATCGTTAATCAATCCAATGGTGATTAAATGCCTGCTTTAATCGTAAATTGTAATTGATATAAAGTAAAATATTCATATATTCATTATGTATGAATAAAATATTTCAATTGCTATTTCAATTATTAATCGTTAATTGTATTAAATATTTCTCTACGCTCTGTTCTTACGAAGTATTAAATGATCGATTTTGAAATGTAAATTCCGACAAAATTTGATGGCATAATATAATTATGTAAAGAAAATAGTAGGTATTACAATATACAGTAAGACCTAAATAGGTCTTTAGGTTTTGATCTTTGATATTAACCTTTTGTTGCATTATTTTGCAAATCTGCTATATGTATAAAATATTAATAATATACCATGAACGATTTAATGCCTATCACAGAAAAGAAAAACCAGGCAACTATAAGTAGTATTGCATTATCGTAACGATACAATTCTGCTTGTTATCCTATTTTCCTTTCTGTTTTATCCTATTTTCCTTTGACTCTACCCTTTTTTGCTCTCTTTTGGACGACCGATTTATTCGTTTCAAGAGCACATAAAATGATTATTCTAAAAAGCTCCTTTTCCTATGTTGTTTTGATATAATTGCACGTTTCATTCGTCTCTTCCAACTATCGCTTTTTGTATTTTACTTTTGATTCATGTTAACAATAGATGGCTTTTGTTCCTAATTATCGTTACTTGTTATTTCCCAACTGTTCTTATTTCTTTTTTAGTATTTTTATATTTCTTAAAAAATTGCATTACAATCTTATTCTGTTGACTGGTTACATGTTAAATTATTCCGATTTCCAATTAAGCGGATATTTTTTTAAATATAAGTTAGCAGTCTCCGAAGAGCATAATAAGGATAATTCTGGTAGTTTGCAACACGAAAATCGTTTCGTCTGGATAATCGAACCGCCGTCGTACCGTATCGATTTATCGGACCCACTTGCCTCCCCTTTTATCCGGATAATCGACGTTCGCCTGTACTTGCACTTCTTTCAAAGACTTCTTTTCTTGAAGATTATTCGGTATTAGGTCCTGAAAAAGCTTCATTTCATATTCTTCGCTTTCTTCGGTTCGTATTCAGATGTATCTGTTGCTCTTTTCCCTTCGAATATTCATTTTAAATTATTCTGTCAAATATTAATAATAAAATCATGTTTTTTTCTCATGTAATTTTAAATGTATGGTAAAATCACAACTTCGCCAGCTAATAAGTAAATGTAACCCTCTCAAAGTGAAAATTATTCACCGTGAATCAAACAAAGATTAATCGTATATTTATAAAAATTCCCTTTATATCCTGCAGCGTACAACTGATTCGCATGATAAATGTCAAAAGCGAAATCTATTTCGTTGAACACGCAATTTCAATTTCCTCGTATGAAATATTAATATCTCTACGTAATACATTTTCAAACCAGAAAAGCTATGTTTCATAGAATTGTAATTTAACCAGATTCCTTTTGCCCGTATGAACTTAGTTTCGGAAATTATTTTTAAGTAAAATAAAAATCTCTGGAGGTAACGCTGTAGCTTTTATTATTCAGATAATTTTAATAAACAAAGTATTTATTAACCCAAATGTGTTATAAAAAATCTGTATTTTCGGAAACTGCAAATTGTTGAAAATTGTTTAGATCGTGAAACTAACAACCAGACATTTTGCATTGAAAACATTAGATGAAGGTTTATTTAATCATTTTCATCAGATTCTTCAATTTTCAAATTAATGTACATAAAACATAAAAATGATGTTGCATTATTTTACAACACTTTCGTGTTACCAAATTCGGTCACATTTTTTTTGAATCGACCAGTACCGGATATGGGAGAAAGTGCATAGCAAATCCGCTTAAAGGATTGTAACAGAACTATGATTTGCAAAATGTAAAACAAAATCATCGTTTCAGATGGATTTATACCAGTTTATATATAAAAAAAAAAAAAAACATTCATGCAATTTATTATACCGTATTTGAACTCTGTTATGTACTATAAATATTTATAAAAATACATCTATCTACAACTAAAAATATAATGGTTCCATCTAACGTAGTATAATATTATTTCTGAAAGTGAAACAAGTAACTCCTCATTTTCTATTTACAACAATGTTTATCTAATTAGGAATTCAGAAGTTCTTAATTTGAGTATAAAATCGTGGGAAATATTTAATATTTAATATGTCAGAGACAATATAAATTGAAATCTCCAGAAAATCCATGTTAAGATTCGTTAGAGTTATCGTATGGATACATATCGTCAGAGAAAGTTAAAGGAAAAGAAAAGTAACAGACGAGTTGTCGAATTTTCAGGCAGAGGAATATTTTTTAACGAGGAGAAAACTTTCCTTGTCTGGTGCAACGAGGAGGATCACTTGCGTTTGATATCGATGGAAAAGGGTGGGAATCTGTCGTCTGTATACGCGAGGCTTGTTAAAGCAGTTACCGAGGTCGGGAAGAAACTTGAATTCTCGCCACATAGAAGACTTGGCTTCCTCACCTTTTGCCCGAGCAATCTGGGAACCACCATCAGGGCGTCCGTTCACGCACGCTTGCCGAAATTGAGCGAGGATTACGCGAGATTCGAAGAGATCGCGAACATGTACCATCTTCAGGTAAGAAACAAAATCAACTCACCTTCTTTTTCCCCTCGATTACTTTCGCTTCAGTCGTTGAATCTTATTTCGCGTACACTGCCACAAACTCTACAAGGTACTTCAACTAATTACGAACTACACTAAAACTATTAACTAAAATTATTTATCGCGAATTCGTCGCGGATCGCAAGAGCACGCGTCTAGTACTAAAGACTGACAAGCATTGAACTTGTAGCCAACTTCACTGCGACAAGTTCAATGCGAACCCCCCTGCCCTTGGCGGTGGAATCCAAAATATGTATTTCTTATTTCCTACAGTAGTACATAGTACATATCTAAAGTTGTATCTAAGGTAATGTATGTACTATCACAAGAATCATTAGAGAATTTAGTAAAATAATACCTCGGTATAAGTAACATTTCATCAACATAATTATTTTATTTCTTTCCATATGTTGAATTAAATAATTTCATGTATAAATGGTGCGATAATTATGATAATTCATAATTAAATAAATATAAAGCAAAGAAATAGAAATATGTACAATGATTTTCGGTTTCGCGTCGTTCATCGCGGTGACGAAACAAACGCAACAAGTTTTCACGGCGAAATTAATGTTAATCGTTCACGCGTAATCCCAAGGGTATGCAATATAAACTAAACGAACAGCTGGCCATGAATATTTTCTGCTTACGAGATAAATATTTCACCCAAATTCTTTTTTCTCTCTGTTCTTTTTTAATCCCGCTGTAGGATTAAAGATTATTTTAATGAAATATTCAGATCAGAGGCACCCGTGGCGAGCACAGCGAAAGCGAAGAAGGCATTTACGACATCAGCAACAAACGTCGGCTGGGCTTGACCGAACGGGAAGTGGTTTTCGAGATGAGAAACGGCGTGCTCGAACTGATCAAACAAGAGAAACAGCTGCAAGGGGATACGTCGTAATATCGCGTGTCCGATAGAAGTCGATGAAGGCCTCCCGGTACCACCATACGTTTCCATCGATTTTCCCTCGATTCGACACGACTGCCCCTGTAATTCTTATAAATCGAAATATCCAAACTGTTTCGATTAATGTTTCCCCCTGTGCCACCAATATGTTTCCGTTACGACCACCGACAGTCAGAGAGAACAGTGAGAGAGAGAGAAAGAGAGAGCAAGAGAAAACACGAGCTTGGTTATCGACAAGTTGAAGCGGTACTCGTCTATTTCACTGCTTGAAAACGTCTGCGGCATTCCTCTCCGCTCTCCGCTCTCCGCTCTCCACTTCCCAGCGAAGAAACATCGATTCGTTATTAACTTCTGAAACCGTTGTTCTGCAACTTGATGCTCCTGATTGCAAGCCGCTGTTCAACAATATTGATACAATGAATATTCATACTTTATTCTTTGTTTACTTCCAATTTTTATTCTGTTGCGGTGCAATAACAAACTCATAAAACCAAGTAGATTTATATGCACATCTATTTTCTTGGAAAAATTTCAATTCTTAGGCGCTGATATAATGTAAAATAAAATTGTTAATATTATAAAAGAATATTCAAAGTTTGAAAAAAAAAAAAAAAAAAAGCGTTAATCTTTATAAATATTATCGTTAATTATTCATATCCTGTTTGTGTAATTTATTATTCTTTAAATAAAATTTTTATGTGTCGCGTTATTAGAATTTCATAATTTTTCAAAATATTGCTTTTCATACAAAAATAATTCATGGTCGATGTACAGAAATAAATAAATTTGACTTGACAACTTTCAGTTGTTATTTACGGGAGATTAACAATCACGGAAGCAGAATATTACATTTTTATTGCAGAGACCTTTCAGATCGAGTCTTCCTTCTTCTCTCTTTTATTCCGTTCTTAAAGATACGCTTTCGTCGCGTGAACGTTCCAGCAACTTTAAAGTTATTTAATGCCAAGAACCTGCTATTCTTGACACCGTGAAAATATCGTACACGTGAATGTGTCTAGATATAACAATAACGTGGAACGTAACATCAACAACCGTCTGAAACTGACAAGAGAACGGTTATGAGAGTTTCTCGGATATCATATTTGTGAGCTATTGCACCGGTGTGTGACTCTGACAATGAGAATAAAACAATGCTCTTCTCATTTTTCTATTAACAATTTATCAAGCATTTCAACAACTCTTCATTATTCGAGACTTCCTTTTAATTTTAAAATTCTAATAAAATTACTGAAACAATAAGGAAAATGCTTTACTTGGTAAACGGTTTATTGATAGCACTGTATCAGACAAACATTGCACCAGCAGAGTAACAATAAGTGGGTGGGAATCACGTCCACAGGCGTGCCAGCAATAATAACATCAGGTGAACAGGATAAATCGTTCCTTTAATCAGGAATGTACCGCTGGTCATTGTTTGGCTGGTTCTCTTCTGGCTCGATTCAGTCCGACGCTGCAACTTCCGTGACGGCCACTTCTGGGATTTTTCTAACAAAAATAAATCATTTTTTCTGCTATTTCATGATACGATTTCTTAGATACGTTATTACAGTACTCTTCACACGGACTTTCACGCACCCTATATGTATGTAGTTGAAATGATCAAAGTTGATTGGTTCCAACACACATTCAGTGTACAGGGTAGAAGCTAGAATAGTATTGTCAACTAGAAATCCGAAATTTCACAATTTTTTTTCCTCTCCTACTATCCTTGCACATGAAATTGAAACGAATGCTCAAGTTCTGCATAGAAGAACCTCTTACTATATTGCACTCTTACACTATAAATTTTCGAATATAAATCATGTCGAAATATGTATTTAATAAAATGAAGAATATTTGCATAAAAAAGCTTTAAACGTTGGTTTTTCTTTTAATGTAGATGTTTCAACTACAGGTACAGTTGAGTTTCTTTTTTTTACTAAAAATTATTTCAGAATTTTGTAAACTGAATTATCATTTTTCAATGTTTTAAGAAAATCCTTATGGATAGTTGTTTGACAATTTTAGAACATGCAAGAATATCTTTGGACAAATGCGACCGCGTGATTTTCTGGATGTACTATACATCAGGCTATCCTATGAGTAATATCGCTTCGTTTCCTACGTCAAATAAACATAGATAGGTATCTTGTTTATACGCGATGAACGCACACAATAGAAATGGGCATTAATTTCTCGGAGCAATGTAGTGTATTGTAACCCAAACAAACCAGAACGGAGACAAAACATACTGCTTTAAGGCACTGTTATATGTACCATGCTGTTTCATCACCTTAATTATTAATAAGTTCACCGACGCGTTACCCACTGATGACACGACATATATGCGAATATAATTTGATTAAATAATTAAAACATGATAACGGTGAAACAATGACACTACCATTGGTAATATTTTATTCTAATTCAAAGTACTTTTAATTGAATATTAAAATTAAATTCAAAACTAACGTAAAAAAATGTACGTTGAATTTTATTATTTTTATTTAGAAGTTTGTTTAGCGTGGAAACAAGAGCCAGTAGCAAAATTGATAAAAATGAAATATTTGCACTGCTTGAAATAATTCGAGAATCAGCTTCGTAAGTACTTTCCTTTCGAATTTCGTATTTCGTATTTCGTATTTCGTATATGAAACGAGTCACGCAATTCGAAACTGGTCGTTGGCGTTGTTTGGTCAACGACGAGAGAGAAAAAGGTGGCAGTGGAAAAAGTCGAAAGGCGCGGCGCAGCGCGGCGTAACAACGGGCTTTATCTGTTCACGACATCGCTTGTTCGTGGCCGTTTCGTTTGTAATGTTTTGTGGCGCACCGTGTGTCGGAGAACCGGGAAATGTTTTGCGTTGTGTAATACCACGGGGGGTGAGGTCTTTCGATACTGCCCTATAATTCTCTGCGAGCTTGCATTTAAACAGGGGCAGGCATGTCGTTTATATTAATTGTTGTTGCGTGTCCGTTTTTTTATGGGTCAGTGATTGAATTTTCTTCTCTGGTTACCTGATTTCTTACCAAGGTTTATAAAGTTTCATTAATGTAATTACTCACAGAATGTTTTATAGTGACTCGCATGTTTAGAAACTTTAAGAAAAGCATGTAGAAACTATGTCCAAAAGGAGTTGAACCAAGAATTTGATCGTAGAGACCTCATGCGGGGAAACTGAGAAACAAGTTCAAATCTAACAATTCCGTAGTTGAAAAGCAATTTTTTTTTCACGATTCTTTTTTTAAAATATTCTTGGTATAATTGTACAGTGACGTGCAGAACCTGATTTTCCAATTTCGCCTTTAAAACCTTATAAATAATGCGTTTTTATAGTAGAAGAGAATTTTTAACATTCATTAACTTTTCAACTATTTCATGAAATATTTGTAATTGAGATTAGAAATGTTTAATTTCATTGCTTTCATACATATAATCAGACTACAAAAATCAGTTGAAAAAGAAAAAGAACATTACATGGTTTTGATATTAACCAGCTATACCTAGAGTAATTTCATATTCTGAGAAAAAAAATAAAATGTTAGATCTTCTAGTGGAACCGGGTACCAAGTTCTTGTGGACAAAATTAATCCATTCATCATCCCGCTAAGTTTCTTACCGTTCCAAACAGTACGCGTCCCGTGACAGGCAAAGAATTACCCAGTTAACCCAGTCAAATGGTGATCCGATAGCCTCTATTCCCGTTTCCACGATAATGAATCAATATATTCCGTTATTAATTAAACTTTGACCGTCGATCTCGTCTTGACCCTCTACTTTAAAGGAATAATGGAATGCGAACGGAAAGAAGTAGCTACTTTGCGTTTGCAAATATTTTTTTGATATTGTATTATATTATATTATACAGACGAAGTTACGCAATACCAAGGGGATCAAATTTCAATATTACATTTGTCACCTCTTGCAAAAGAAAACTAAAGCTTGGGCAAAGCAAGAAAAAGTAGAAGGAAAAACTAGCTTCACCAGAAAAACAACAAAGATTCTTCAAAGCAAGGCAGCCAGAACGCTGAATGTATTTTTTGTAGTTATTTGTCTTCTGAATCCATAGAAGGGTGGGTTAGGTTTTTTGAATGTCAAGATTGAAGTTACTGTACAAACACCAGAGAGAGAACAAAGATAAGCATCTAAACGCTATCTTTAGATTATACATAGATTAAGAAATAATATTAACATTAACATTACTTCCAAAATTTATGTACCATATGTAACTTGGAAAATTTCTATCTATGGAGGTAAAAGAGTCAAGTGTAAGTAAATACATGTATAATATGTGTGTGAGTAAAACTGATCTGGTAAAAATCTATGGAACGATCGAATATTATTGAATAAACACGATCCTCTCGTCGCCGTTCGTGAAAAGATTCATCCTCGTTAACTGTTTCGTCTAGTCCTAGTGGAAGCGTGTCCTGAACGCAGGAGACAGAAGGGAGGAAACACTTACGACAAAGTGCTGCGTATCGCGAGCTACGGATCGTTCCCTGCGGACAAAGAGCCGGCACACCATCTTCGTAGAGTTCCCTCGGTCTCTTCCGATCGAGGGGTCCGTAATTGCAGACGAGGGTCTCCACGCGATCCCCGAAACCGAGCTGCATTGTGCCCGTGACAGTAGCCGTCTCTTCACGACCCGGCGGTGAACCATCTTGCTTAGCCGTGTAAATTGCACGACCGCAGCCGACTTGGCTAATTATCGCCGATGCGAATGCGATATATGAAAGGTTGCTTCGAGCTGTGAAGTTGACGAACCTGCAACAAAGATTAATCAAATTGCCACGCTAAACTTAAAATTCAATCACACCCAAACGAGCCACTTATCCTGGGCCCCGCATTTATAAATACTTCAAAAATTGCTAAATTTTTCATTAAATGCACTAGAAAGTGATATAAATAACAGTTCTAGAACTGTGCAATCGATGTAGGTATAGCAGGTATTCAGAATAAAGATTCTTCAATAACTTTGCAAAAAGATAATGTAGGTGTTTAGTGGAAGGGAGGGTACTAGTCTCCTCGGACTCAGAATTGCTACTGTTTTTGCTAGCAGTCGAATATACTCGTACACTCAGGCTTTTTCCTTACACTTAAAATACTTAAAAACAAAAGTTTCACGAATAGAATGACACGACCTCGTTTCAGAAAAGATATCTTCAGTTTCTAAGCGATAACATGAACCCTCGGAAAATTTAATGATAACGTCATAAATGACGTAAGTTTCAAGGCTGAATAATATCGAAAATATTAAATATATTTTTACATATGAATTTTATATTCTTTCTACAAGTTGACAAATGAAGTTTCTACTGTAATTGGTGTGCTGGGATTAAATTATAGAATTGTGTAGAATACTTTGCAAACTTTCACTATAAGGTTTATGTTGAAACAATAAGAAAAGCTTTGAAAAAAGCTTTGTAGCTTTGTCTACACCAACTGTTTTTGGGTTGATAATTTCTATATAAATGTTCATTCGATCGTTTCTCCTAGTTGAAATCGATCAGTCGTCGTCAAATAGAATGGTTTGAGGTGGGTAAAGGGTATAGAAAAGCGTTAGCTGAATCGAGTGAGAGAGAGGAAGCGGTGTAAACCTTCTCCTAAATTCAGAGGCAAGTTAGCAGTGTGTACACACACGCACGCACGCACGCACACACACACACATCCATTGACAAAGCGAATGCCTTGGCACATAAGAGTCGTTTCGATCAATTCAACTTTTAGAGTATCATCACATGCTGCGTTGAGAATGACAATACGTGTGGATTTTCTCGCGGACCAACACACGCTGATACGCGAGTTATATCACGTTGAATCGAGCACTGAAAGGCCTTATGTCTTTCAACTCCCTTTGAACTAGCCCCCTTCACTCTTGATCCCTAGAACCGTTTATCGTCGAATAAAGAACCGTGAAATTCTATTGAACTCGTTTCTTTAATCGTCTTCGATCCATCGTCGCTGAAAAATTCATACCGCTCTGTTTTTCGAATCTGTGTAAAGGCGTATATCCTTACTAATATATAATACATAGAAGAAAGCGGTGCAAGATGAAATTATTATGTAATTATTGACAGTATTTTGTCAAGTATCATTAAATACTAACAGAATTAATTCAGATTTAGGACATTTCCGACTGTTTGAAAAAAATATCCAAATTGATCTTGGCGGTCTCGCCTGTATGTATGTATGTATGTATGTATGATCTGCGGCTCCAATCCTATGATAGCTTTTTGATTGTTGATTGGGTAATGGCAGAAGCAATAAGCCCTTAATAAGTGAGCTCCATGATGGAGGTAAGGTAGGAGAAGTACTATTCGCGACCAATCAATTATGCAGCTCTGCTTCAGGTTCTGCTTACTTTCGGGTCGAACTACCGAAATATTTCTTTGAAATTATTGATACGAACAGTTTCGAAGAATTGATTGACAAGACGGCAGATTACGAATATCTAACTCAGAAACAGATCCATTAACTATACTATATACTATATATAATTCCCCTTCAGAAACCGTTGAAAAATAGCATTTCCAGCGGCAGTATAATAAATCTGGCACAACTTTTGACTCAACCGTGTTAGAAACTCTCTAATGCTCTCGAGAAAGGAAGAAAGAATGGGATAGGGAAAAGTGAAACTGTGTATGTATGTATGTATGTACAGTGGGCTTACCCGAATTCCGCAGAATCGAAATCTTCCACTTCGTCGTACCAGGATTGAATATGAAAGTGAATCCTAGCGGTGGACGTTGCGTTTCCCACACTGTTCATATCGAGCACGTGCACGTTTTGCCATACTTGAAATCGTTCTGCAAAGAATATATACATACGATGAGTAACATTTAGTTATGTCTTAATATTTTCCAGGCTAATTGATACGTTATTGAATAAAAGTACCATATTATATTATTTAAACAAATGAAAATAACCCCAATTTTTCATTGATAAAAGAAAGTTGGTTATATGAAAATAGGCAAACACTACATAGAAATATAATAAATTATTACGAAAATATTTTCAAATGGCTTTACTGGTGTAACACTGGTGTTCACGTTCGTGTACCTATTGTAGATATTGAAAAATGATGGGTGAGTAAAGGAGATTGAAAAAAATAGGATATATCGAAGGATGTTACTTGCCAACGTCTCGGCATTGATCTTTCTCAAAGAGGTTGCACTGCAACGCCCATCGCCTAGCGATAAAAGCGAGTTCATCATCCCAAAGCTGTAAAGAAAAATATTATGTATCGTCATATACATAATTGATCTTATATTAAAATTGATCTTTTATTAAAAACAAATTAATTAGGGACTGCAGATCGATTTCGTTCAATCATACCAGCTCCATCATATATTTTGCTGGTCGTTGAGGACCTGGATTCCCTCTTTGTTCTTCACCACTAGCCACCGTGTTACGATAAGTATTGTGCCAATAAAGTATCGTATCAATGTCTTTCTGATCTAGATCTGCAGAATCAAGGTTTGAACATCTGGTTCCATGATCATCATCCTGAAAAAAAGAAAATTGAATATTAGAATTATAATAGTAGTGTAGAAGATAAGGGAGATATGTATCAGACAAGGTAGGAGGAGAGGTGAAGATAAATGAAGGAGTTAGAAAAGCAAAAAAAAAAGAAACAGATGGAAACAGAAGGGAGAAGGTCGCAAGGGAGAAGGAACAAAGTGAAAGAAGGGATGAAATTAATGAGAAGAAAAAGGAACAACATACTTCAATCATAACCTAAGCTTACAAATATATACAAGGATATTAACCTAAAGTTAAATGTATAATTTATAAACAAAAGGGTTTCATATATTGAAAAAATAATTCAAAAAAAAAACAAAAAAAAACAGCGTATAATGTAGAAAATGAAAATGTTATGAAATACAAAATTAAATTAAAATCGTGGCTCTCTTCACGATCCATCATTTAAGGGTTAATAAATAAGGCATCGAGCAGAAATCTGTTCTAATTTCAAAACTCGTCTCGAATTCATTAATTAGTGTTTCTTTAGACTGCACTTTAATTTCTACAGAGGTTTTATTTCGATAAAGTCTAACATTTGTCTCGAACTAAATAAAAAGAACCGACTATATTCCAATCCTATTAGATTTCATACTACCCTTCAGCGTTTAAGCTCCTAACAAGATGTGGATTAATATATTCTAATAACCCTATAATACAGATTTTGTTCTGCTCTCTTAAGAATCATTAGTAATCGAAGTTGGATAATGTCTGAACGTCTGTTTAACAATTTTCTTTTCTTCGACCTGCAAATCTCTAAACTTTAATAAAAATACTCCTTTTACGCTTTACATATGAAGTGCTATCGGATTTAATGGAAAACTCCTCGAGGCAGCCACTTTCTTCAAACACACCTTTGACATGCTGCTTCATCGAATTCGCTTTGATGCGCAACAGAGGAAGTGGTCCTTACTTCCTTTTTCTTTTTTCTTTTTCTTTTTTTTCTTTATGCTGTCAATAAATTTTTCAAAAGCTGCCAATGAAATCTCCTTCTTCCTCCTTTTGCCTCTATTTTCATCTCTGTTTGATTGTTTTGCCTAGCAGAGAGACACAGATTCAATCCTTTTGTTCTCTTCTCAAATTGATGTTTGAATACTACTTCCAATTTAAAATTGATTAAAAAATTGATTCTTACACTATTATCATTAAAATTCCTCGAACTTTTATCAATAAACAACCGCAATGGCTTTTGAAATATACTTTTGAAAAATGTTGACTTTTATTAAATGTTTTCATTCTACTCGTTCCACATACTTAGAATTCCATTCAGAGAGTTCTGAAGAGCCATTTGATCATTTCATTAGCCCGGTATTCAGAAAATAATTGAATCGAACGTTACAGGGAATTTCAAATGGTAGCGGGTAGTTGAGAATTACAGGGAAATTAATGATAACGACAGGGTACGATTGACCTAATGGCATTTAATCGAAAGGTTTCTTCTCGCTTGGCTCTTGCATTAACGTTGATCGAGTGTATAAAACAAAGCTACCCGATGCACGTCAATCACGCGATCCGCTTTAGCGATTCCGAATATTCCTCTGGTGCTTCTATTTTTATACTGTTTTTTTTTTTTTTTTTTTTTTTTTCCATTTCAACTCTATGTATATCCCTCACTCTTTTCCTATCGACATTTAAAACGTTCGACAGTACTGGCAGACTATTGAAAATCTATGAAAGCAATGCACAGGAAATTAATGAATTCCACTTCTTCCCTAATTAATGCGTTGAATGGCAGCGTAGTAATTCCAGTTTCGTTTTATTAAATGCAAAAGTATTAAGGTATCCTTATCTCATCGTCAGGAAAGAAATTCATAAAACAAAAAGGGGTTAACTCGTTACCTTTACAATCACCGAGGCATAATAATGTTCCTACATGATCCCCCAAGAAAAGCCCAACATATCCCAAGCGAAAGTGAAATATTAACGTCTCTCCTCTGTCCTCAGCCCCTTGTAGCCACGTTTAATAATTCTTGGATAAAGCAGTGAAGCGTTACGTACCGGAAATTGGCACATGGTGTGATTTGCGGAAATGTGGCAGTAACGAGTGGCATCGTGACGGAGGATCGGTGATATTGTCCCTCGTAGCATGCAATCGCAGCAGCCCGTTAAGAACAATAAGAGGCAGAACGGGATACGAGCTGTCATTTCGACGGTGGAGCTTTCAACGACCGAAAATCCGCCGCGACATTTTATCTTTTGCGTTTCACTGCTGTCGGGTGGGTAATCTCGCTGCTACCTTCACCTCGGGCCAATGTTTTCCGAATCGATTTTCCAATGAAACAGCGACAGGCCCGCGTGCGACCAAGGATAATATTTTTCCAATCTGGTAACGCAGAAGCAAGAAAAAGAACGGGTTAATAATGTCCTATGAGATCGATCAAGATTTCTTCCTCAATCGTTTCAATTTTTCAAGTTTTATCATACTGTGGGTCAATCGTAATCGAAACTTACAAAACATATTCTAATACGAAGCAGAAAATTCAATTTCCATGGTCTGCCGTTCGAGACTATATTAAAACAACTATTCCAATTTAATCTGACAATGAGTATATGTATGTATGTATGTATGTATGTATGTAGAATATAAATTGAAATTGTCAGATTAATTTTCTTTAACAATTAATTCCCTCGAAAAATAGTAATAATATTTCCTGTTGTAAAATATAAATTTTGATAATAAAATTGTGTGAAAAGAGGTGAAACAGAGGAGTCGAAATATTACATGTACGAAATATAAATATGTACGTATATGTAATTTTCGTGTTATTTAATACATTAATTTTTCTATTTTCTACTTAATTATAAAACTTGGCATATTTCGTTGCATTTCCGTCGTCAGGGGGTGAGTTCTTTTTCGTAATTATGAAACGCGTTTAACAACGCGATTGACAGTCGCAATCTAAATCATTCTAATGACAGTTTTCAATGTTTTGTAAATTATAATACCAATTAAACACCTACCACCAGTCTTCTCTAACTGTTCTTTTCTGGTGCTATAAGAGAAACTCGGCCTCGTGGAAAATATAAAATTTCGGTTACTTGGTTGTTTCCGAAGTGTTCTTTTGTGCTCTGCCGTTCTCATTTCGAGGAAACCACGAGCGGTCGCAAAACTAGCTTCACCATCTCGAAAACTTTCTGCCTCCCACGCGTATTGAAACAGTAATGATACGAGAGAAGGGAAAGGGTGTCGGCAGGATAACGAAATGAAAACAGAAAACACGTGCTGAACATCTGAGAATCGTCCAACTCGCTCGAGTTGTTGTCGGTCTCGTTTACGCGTTACGTTTCCGCCGAGGGAACGATAGATAGAATAGGATAGGATAGGATAGGATAGGATAGGATACGACTGATTTTAAATAAAAATTAAACATATACATATAATAAATAAATGCTCCTGTATATGCCCGAATTCTGTTATCATAGTTTTTAACAAAGTTAGTAAATAATTAGTTATATTATCTGAATAACTAGCTTTTAGCATTTTAAGGATTTTTAAAATATGAACCAAACTCAATTCCTTCGTGTCTTTCTATGTAAAGTGTAGAGGATGTAAAATGTATACCCTTTGGCACGCAGCACGATCTTTTTAATTTGGACTTTCTAATTAACCTGGGAATATACAATCCTCATAAACAGCTACGTTCATCCTAATATTCTGTCTACTTCAGTAGTTCCTGGAATAATATTCTCCTGGAATAATATAAAGGGAGACTCGTGAAAAGGCGTACATTTGCTGAAACGCATTATTATTCAAATCAAGTTATCTTCTTAAAATTGTTACGAATTAAATGGCACTAATTATCGGATACTTAATAACTCGAACGAATGGTGAAAACAATCCATCTTCCATTCTCTGAAAACTCATCTCTCGAAGCTGTTATGCTTCCATCAAAAACATTTGTCTCGCACGAGTCCGAGCAATTAGCCAGCCACGTTGTGTATAAATATTTTTCCACATCAATCTTTGTTTTCACTGTCAACAAGTAGCGATCACTATCAAGAGGAATATGAAAGACAATAATAATTTTAGAAAAACAGTGTAAAATGTAGTAAATGAAAATAATATGAAATTAAAATCTACGTACACTTGGTAGTTGGAAAAAGAAAACAAGTATTTCTAGATTTTTTTTATCATTACAAAATTTTTTATTTATTTTTCCAAATCTCTACTGCATTGTATCCTTTTATACTAAAATTAATTCAGAAGAGAGGAAAATTTTCAAACGAGCATACAGAGCATCCTCCATTGGTTCTTCAGATTTATTATCAAGAGCGGAATTTCCTCAATTACCAATTCCGTGGATAGCTTCCGTCGCATCGCGTCGCGTCGCGTCGCCGCAAAAACAACGTCCGTTGTTTTGGCCAACATGTCGAGGATAATATCGTAAAGTTTCGTTAAGGACTGTCCGGCACATTTTCATCCCAAGCCAATATCGTGTTCATGTCTTTAATGCCGCGTGTGCTCCATGGTTCGAGCGGATCGGTGGTGGGCGACGTCGCCTTATTCCGCTCGATCGATTCCCTTCTCCTTTCGCCGGAATCCTCCGTTTCCTTCGGCGATACCCTGTGCATGAATTGTGCAGAACAAGAATACCATTAAACCAACGGTCAATCGGAGAAGCGGCTATGCTTTCGGGAAACTAGGGGAACTCGGCCGCGAACGTAAATTTCAGAAGGGTGTTCAGGAGGATGGGATGCTTGCAAGTTGCGATTTACCGGAAACTTCCTTTCTATTTCGAAACTTTCGTTACAAGAATAATTTTATCAGTTAATTGATTATGTGATAATAATTGACGATAATAATGTCATTCTAATGGGAATTGGTATTAATGTCAAAAAAATTCACCAAATGTCAAATAAGACAAATTGTAAGAAAAAAAAAAAACGAGGAAAATTAATTCCATAAATATAAAAAAATCATTTTTATAAAGTGTACTACGTTTTACACTACCACAAAGACATTTTCTCCCTTCATGGTATCACGGCACAATTCCAACATTTTTTTTCTTTTTCTTTCAAACGGATTAATTTTGTATTTGACATACACGAAGCAAACAATTCAATTTGTTTTGTAATAACTGATTGCTTCCTGCGTTTACACTTTTTCTCTCGTGACCCATATCATCCTGGTTGTTCTCATCGTCAGTACTCTTTATCAAATTGTTTCGTGTATGTACAGTGCGTAGTCCGATTCCATTTTCCGCGAACATACGTTTGAAAAAGAATTACTACCGATTGATTGATAATTTATCGTTTCCAGCCAATTACAATAATTCAGATTTCACTGACGATGAAATCAGATGCAACAACAACAATAACGGACACGTAAAATCACTTTTAATGTTAACATCGTTTCCCTTAGGGAAGCCTGATTTGATCGCGAGTGTAATTTACATGATCCCATATAAGAACGAAAAATATAAAAACCCCTTTTTAGACCCGTTTTTCCTGATAAAATTTTTGCTATTTTATTATAGATCTCTAAATACTCGCCGTTCCTCGAAGCAAGGAGCTCTATTCTTGTCTCGAAAACGTGTCCCAGTTCTTGCTTTTCTTTTTATCAACACTTTCGTGACTTCCACGAAGCGTACCGTTTCATTGTTCGGGTTCGAGGTGTCGTAGCCTCGAACAACGGGGCAGAGCAACGATTAATCGTCACAATGAAATCATTGTATGCAGGTTGCACGAATGGTTGGCAGTGTTACGTGGTAAGAGCACAATTCTAGAGAGTTCGAAACGCGATCTTAATTCCGGCCACGGTCGAGGATTTAGATAAAAAAAAAAAAAAAAAAAAAAAAAGGGAAACGAAGAGAAGAAGACTTGGAGGAAACGTGGCTGCGAAAGTTCCGCAGAAAATTGCGACAGAGGAAAACATCGACGAATCTAAATGGGAAATCTATGTTCCAATATTGCGTGTTCCACGAGTCTCAACATGTCGACACAATCGATTGTCGATGCTATTGTGCAGCCAAGCCGAGCCGAGCCGAGGTAACGTTGAGTTTCCAAGAGTCTGTGTGACTTGCCACGAACGCCACGAACGCCACGAACGCCACGAACGCCACGAAACCCTTTCTGGACGACTATTATGTTGTAATTACTTTTTCAAGCCGAAGCAGGAAATTGTGTGTTTTCTATGCTTTCGTTTCTCTGCCGGATAGAGTTTCGTTGAAAGAAGACCGACCTTCGCTTCGGTTTATTTGAATGCGCAAGCGAGTTTCCTCTTTCCTCTTACAAAGTGACCGATCATTGTTTTGCTTAGATTTTTCAGAGTTGAGAAGATGTAGAAAAGCTTATAAAATAATCTGATACCTGTTTCTGGCCGTTTTTGGTCGACGCTTCTGACAATGAACTTTACTCCTCGATCCACAGCTAACATCGTTCTGCTTTGTTTGCGACTTAATTGCCTCGATGGATTCGTTTCGACTTTCACTTGAATGGTTCGATGGGTTCTCTTCAGGCTCGTTGCGCAACTGCTGGTATCGAGGATTTCCTCCGTCACCGGATGCGGAAGACGTCGATGACAGGTCGTCATCGGTGCGCCGCGAACGTCTCCGTGCCGTGATAAATCTGCTGTTAGCTGATCTTATTCTACGGAGACGGGCAACCGTTCCTAGCAGGTTGTCGCCTGCGATAAGACGATCAATTTTCTTCAATTCAACGCGACACTTGCTGCTCTATCGATCGCCATACTATCACTTATCTTGGATAATTCTATTTATTTTTCTATCTGATCCACTACTGTGTTTTCGAAAATTTCCAAATAAATTATTTTTTATTTCTGATTAGGAGTCTTTGAATTGAGCAATAAATTAAATTTACCAAGGACGCCTTATTAATACAATAAATTATGACAGAAGTTTCACAAAATTAATTGATAAACTAATTCTCCAAGAAACTAACTACCTACTAAATAATATACCTATCAAAGATATTAATATTTACATATACATGTAAGAATTACAAGAAAAAATTCATAATTACCAGCAAAATCGTTATCACTCGATTCAATGAAATATTGTTTCTTCTTGACGGTAACTTGTTCCTCCATCGGTATCTTGGTCATCGTGAATTGTTCCAAAATTTGTAGATTTATTTTTGGATTAGCAGGCGAATCAAAATCATTGGCAGCACGTTCCGCTATTTTCAATAGCATTTTAGAGTCATTCGTACTTTCAGAGGCAATCACAAGTTCCAACAGTGGATCCTGATAATTTTCAGTCAAGCTCGAACCTATAAGACAAACAAGTGAAAATACTTGGAAATTTTTCTACCTCCAATTTTTATTGTGATTACATGCAAATAGTAGACACTTAAAAAATTCAACAATTCCATGTATTTATTCTTTTCATTCTAATTGTAAAAAAGAGAAATATAATAACAAGTACAGTATCGATCAAAGTAAACTTCTCTAATCGTAAGTAACTTCTATCTTCTTAGAAGAAACTTATTTTCAAATGTTTATGAAACACTTTTTTCTCGCTTGTAAATGAGAATACCCTCCGCATTGCGGTGCTTCGGTGCCAAGTGTCTACGTATGTATAGGAGATTACAAGTGCTCAAATATTTCGGGTTTTTGCGTTGTTAAAGATGCATATTTTAAAAAAGTATAATAGATTGATTTTTCGAAGCCCGATTATAAAAAATTTCATTATTAACAATATTTCTACTTACTGTTCGCATTCTTCAAGTTCTTTTCCTGAATATCCACAGCTTCGTTAAATTTCTTATCAAGCTCAGTTTTATCATTTTCTTGCTTGTTCACGATCTCTGGGACGGATTTCCCTATTATCGATGCTTTATCTTGATTATCCGTTGTCAACTTTCTTTGTCCATCATTGGCAATTTTTGCTTTCGATTGTTTTACGTCAATGTTAGTTGGAATCGATCCAGTGGCAGTGGAGATGTCCAAGTCATGGGCAAATGCCATAACGTCCAAGGCTGCTGTTAATGCATCCCCGAAACCAGCAGTCACCGCTGATACCCCAGGCTCGGCTACGTTTGGACTGTAAAAGCAAATAAAAGAAAATTATTTTCTTTCTAAATCACTTTTAATATATTAATATCGACAAAATTAGGGTTTTCACAATTCCTACTTCCCTTATGTCGCCATTTTCCCAACGGATGTCCACTTTGCTCCATCTGTACATGTTAATTCACTTCTTTTTTTCTACAATTATTATTTTCTACAAATTCCTATGTGCATAGAGAACATACGTTCGTTGATGGTATTGGAATTCTTGAATATTATCATTTATTTTTTCATTCTACAAAGTAAAATAAAATAATACTACAATATAACCAATGATTATTGGTTCGATTCTGAGAAATCTATTCTCTACTATAGTCAACAGTTTTATTGTTCCGCATTTACTCTGCATCTCGGTTAAAGTTTCCAGACCATTCGGAAAGTTAATGTTGCTAGAAGTGGAAACGGGCAAGCAATTACACAGGTGATAAAAAGCATCGTCGTGGTACGCTCTGAATCATCCCGTGCAAGGTCGACAATTGGAAATTTATGTTCACGATGTTCATGGACATGTGGATTCCACGAACAGAAAAATATCGGTCTTACATTTCTAACTCTAGAAGTGATAATAAGTTTCTTTATATTTACAGAACAAATAATAGCATAGTCTAATTGCAAATATGTTTCACATTGATATGTTTAAATCAATGCTTCACAGATTATCTCTAGAGTCTAAAAAACTATCATAATGTATGTCAATTTTACAGTATAAAATATAAAAAAAAAAAAAGAAATATTTTAGCAGTATTATTACCTTGCTCTAACTGGTGTAGAAAAGGAAGCTCGACCCCACATTACACGTCGCAATTCTTCTCCTGTCATTCCGCGTTTTCTTAACTCGTTGATTGTTACTTTTCCCACGCGCTACAAACATAGAAAAAAAAAAAAAAAAACAATGTTATACCAAAGGTTACTTCAAAAGTCTTTACACACTTTTTGAGCGTGTTTTTTTGAAATTTAAATTCTTTGATAAACGTCTACATTTCTGCATAGATATTCTGCAAGTAGACATAAAATGTAGGATGAGTAATTAAAATTTTTTATCCAAAGCAATAAACATAGTCAAGGTGTACGGTAGAGAGGATGGTAAGCTTTCCTAGTTTTTAATATGATATCGATCAATTGATAAAAAAAATGATAAGAAAATATTTAATTACGTAATAAGGTTCACAGAAAAATATTCAAAGATTTTTAGATTAATCTAATAGTTTCATTGACAATCGAGATGTCACAATATTATCTCTCTAATTATTACATCAAAGATTTACAAATCAACAGCATACAATAATGGAGAGTACACAGTAGGTAATTGACGTTTACATTATTGCAGAGAAGATTCTATGGAAATAATTAACATTATTCGATACACGGTAGTACAGCTAATTCCAAACGTTACTATTTCATGCGATTGTTCTATTCGGTATACAATAATACCGTCCTGATCCTATTATAACATTCTCGTTTGAATTAATCAAATAGATAATCGTCTTTGATCGGGAGTGTCTCCTTCAACCGTTCAAATTTTGACTCTTTCAAAAAATATGTAACCTGTGACTTGTTAAAGGATTTATAGAATGATCTGCTAATCCTTCCTTCTAGAAATTAAGAATTCTCTTTTTATAAAATAAAAGATTCATAATAGCTTCTTTCACACATTATACAAAAATCTCGGCCTTCAGTAAACCCGGTTCCATCCTGGGCCTGTTGAAAGACTAGTCAAGAAGGCTCTCTAACAGGACGAAAAGCTTAGGATACAAGATCGGATTAACTGAAGCATAAAGAGTAGCCGAGATTTTTGTCGAGAAATGATGCACGTACTTACATGCCGAAACGAACCTTCTAATAAGTGTAGGAAATTTTTTATTTTTTATTAATTCTTCTTTTTCTTTGTGGTTGATGTCATAAAAATTGATAAATTTCTAATCGAATGGTACTAATGTTAAAAGAAAAAAAAATTACCTTCCAATTAGCCACAGCACCTTTCCGTTGCTTCGCCTTCGTCTTCGATTTACTTTTAATCACCAAAACGCCGCGTTGCTCCGATGCTGGGTTGTTCGGGTCATCACCAGGCCCCAGTTTAATACTGTATTCTTGCAAATAATTCTGTGCATCCTTCTGCGATACCGCTCTCTCCAGGGAGACCACGATTTTCGCCCACTGGAAGCAGTTAATAAACTCTAATGATTTTATCGAACGTTCTAGGTCTAGAATCTAGAAGAAGGAATGAAATATTTGTGAAATATTTCACAAAAGAAATATCAAAGTAGGTATACGACAGTGTTTTGAAAACAGAAAATATGCCCTAAAAATTCTATGCCATTTCGAATGAAAGAAAACGAAAATTGGGTAATCTAGATCACTACAACTGTTAATTCCTCAATTTATTGAGGAGTTTCTGTGGAATCGACACAAAGTAGGTGGACTAAAGATAGCAAACAATTTAACACGTTAGTTCCCGAGATCAGCAGTTAATTATATCGTTCAGCACATATTTACTTGCTTCACCCACTCCTTCTCGCTTTGCTCAATCACGTGCGCGTAAGTGTTACCCATCATGGCAATTAGCATGTTCAGTAGTAGTATAGGTACCAATACCATGAATATAGCGAACACCATCTTCGACAAATTCGGGTACGTGGTGTAGCTGAGGTCTGTGTACTGAAACAAACAATTATATTATTTTCTTTACTATTATAATTTATAAATTATATACCAAAAATAACACAAGTTCGAACTTTTCTAATCTATTATAATCTATCAATGAAAAATTTATTTGTAGTAAAGAAAATTTTTCTGAAGAACAATTTAATCTGAAACATTTGCAAAACTATAAATATTAATCTTTTTCTTTTTCTTTTTCTTTTTCTTCAATTAATTGACTGATTAGTTTCTAGGATATAATAGTTTCACAACTGTGAAACAGGTATAGCATTCCTTGATACCCGAGCGATTAAGCAGCTTGAAAAATAAAGTGCATGATGCAGCGATTCGGGAAAAAAAAAATCGTGTCACGAGCAAGTGCGGCGCGGCCATCAGAATCGTTTCGTGGATTTTCGACCGGAAATTCGAACGCAACCACGTTCCTCCGCTTTTTAATTCAACACATTTCACTAAATTGTTAGGCGAACCGTAAAACCGAGCAATGATTTTTAACGGATGTTTCGTGAATGTTATTTACAATCCATGTCCATTGTGAAGATGACCATGTGTATGTACATACGTATGTGTACATACACACGTACTGTAATTAAAATAGTCAACCGTTTTTTAAATAGAAATTGCCGACTTCAAACGAAAATAGACATTCATAAAACATTGTTTTATAGTCTGATTTACAATTTCAAATAGGAAAATGTAAAAAGAGAGAGAAAATGGTGGCGTAGTCGTTAAAATAAGTAAAAAATGACGAAAAGTAAAATTGTAAGGGCCAAATTCGAATTCGAATTCGAAGGCCTGAGGGCCTGATGGCATGATACGGCAACACGGGGAATAAAAAGATGATTTATAGTCGGGCTTACGTTATAATCGCCGAGGGTTACTTGAAACAGTGCCATCCATGTGGAGTGATAGGAATTATAGAGAGATGATTTCACTCCCGGAAAGCCTTTGTACAAAAAGTAGAACGACTGGCAGAAACCGAACAGCACCACCATATAGATTATCCCGAAGGTCAACATGTCGCCGGTTATCATGCTGTAGACCATGGTGACGAATGGACCGGTCAGCCGGATAGCGCTTTTAAAACAGTAAAACGATGTGCGGTACAGTTCAGAGCTCTTTTCGGCCAGTTTTCAGAGGCTACGCCCCATTTCTCCCGCCCGCCTCGAGGACTAACGAAGGCCCTCGCGCGGGGCATAGCGAATGGCGGGAGGAAAGGGGCGTAGCCTCTGAAAACTGACCGAAAAACTGACCAGTTAATTCCTATTTAAGAATTTATTATGAAATCATGTTCATTTTAGTTAGAGGTATCCGTGCATCGTGCAACAGATATCGATCCTTCGACGTATTTACTGTCAGCGAACATAGTCGTGCCATGGTCGGCCAATTCAATGGTGATCCGTAGGATAGGAAGGCAATGACTGGCATCTGCTTCCGGAGTAAATACATAACGCGATTACAAATGTAACGATCTTCTAGCTGCTGTCGATGCGAACGGTTTATTACATTTCCAAAGGGTTAAACCTTCCTAACTGACGCTTCGCACTGCCAATAGGAATTTCCTATTGCATAAATTACTTTATCTATTAAAACACGTTACAATTTTCAATTAGAATTTTCATATTAAACTACCTTCTGTGAACTTGTCGCCGGTATACATAGATCTGCTTATTAATTTAAGTCCACGTACGAAATACCGTCGAAATGCAGCTCCAACTTTGTCATATTAAACAGTAAAAAATATTTTACACACGTAACGTTACTAAGAACTTGGTTGAAAGGATTTTAAATTGATGTTCTTTTAGCAGAATGAGAGCAGATCCCTTTCTGACAAATTATAAACATTTTGTCAAAAATAAAAATAAAGAATAATATCAATTCAATAGCTGATGTTATTATACATATAAGAAGAAACTTTCAATAAAGAAAGATATTATGCATGGACGGCATTAAAGTTAATCAATCGAATGGCATTTGGTGGTCGCATTAAATTCCAAGGATTTCACATTAAATTTCACCACAATTATGTTCACCATAATTCACGGCAATTGCTCTATCACCACCAGCACCGTCAGGCTATAATTATCATCTCTTCCAACTAAAGATATGCAGCGAATTTTATGCTAAAACAGTTCCAGTAAAATTCACTAATATTAGCATTCTCATCATTCTATGAATCATTATCATTATCAAATAACAACTTATCCAAATGTGAAATTCATGTTTTTTCCACTATTCTACAATGGCGAAAGTGTTTCCTACTCTCAATGAGAGGAGGAAACATTATTTTTTTTTCTTCATTTTTCTCCTTTTAAGCTGTGTGTCAACCAGATTGAAAGAGGAGAGAGTCGCGGAAAACCAATCGAGAAATGACAGAGTGGAAGAAGCATCGATCGAGCTACCATTAAGCGGAACGACAGCTCGGTCCCTTCTCGCTTCCGTTAATCGATCGGTGACCTTATCTTGTCAAGAGTTACCAACGACACTCATAAATCTTCGCTTTTTCCCACTGCTAAGTAAGTTCAAGGGAAAGTACAGTCACCGTGGAAAATAATAAAATCGAAACAATACCAGTTCGGGTACACCGGCCGTTGCAAGAGCATTGTATTTCTTTTTTCTAAAATTCAACTACATATACGATTTAAATGTTTTAAAAATGCTGGAGGTACTAATGTTTTTGTTGTTTTAAAAAATTACTAATTCTATTCGAGATAAATAAAATTAATTAAAAATAGATATACGATTGTCCTGATTGGGCGATCTATCACGTTATCATCGAATGGTTCGATTTCGAGGAAGGATTTAGATTTAGGGTTTGCATTGGTTGTAACAAGCGATCCACTGTTTGGAGAATCGGTTTAGTTCCACCAATTGCTGGACTATAGCTTACAAATCTGAATTAGGTTCTTGGATGGTAGACATTCGATTCATACCATACCTGGTTATGCTACTATCTCACTCGTTCTCTCGCTTTCTCTCGCTTTCTCTCGCTTTCTGAGGATTATACCTCGTTAGGCTTGTGAATCTAAACTATGCGGGTTTGCATCTCGAGAGTAGATGAGCCACAATAATTATGTTCGCTTCATCTGGCTATAATTAGAAGTCTAGGCACGATGCTTTCGTGCCGACGAATCTGAAATATTTCCTCGTTAGGTAAGTGGAAACGTAAGCAAATTGTTATACACCCAAGTTAATTATTTTATTAGAATAACTCCTATTAAATATTAAATACCAACTTATATATTACATTATATTTAATCTAACATTAATTGTTTCTCTTATACCATATTCACTTCATTTTTAGCATTAATTCAATATTTAGAATAAAATTATAATATTCAGTATTTTGAAAAATATAAATTTAAGAATACTCTCTTTCACAATTTACATTTTGCGAGTTGTGTTTCAATCACAGACGTGGAAAAGTTTTCAAATGAAAAAAGAAGAAAGGAAATCCAGAAGTTGTATTTAATAAAGCATCGATCTGCAGTCAAATTTCGTGGGAAATTAATCTAAGGCACAACGGATGGCTTATTGCCAAGTGAACGGCAGCAGTTATGGAGGACAAGAAATCTGCTGGTGAGAGTTCGAAAGCCTTTGAGGAATTACGCCCCTGTACGTGTATGTTAACCTTCAACCGAGAGCTCGAGACAAAAGAGGAACCTGATGGATACTGGTCCAATAAAGAAAATACTTTTTATTATGACATTATCATGCTGGATAATGTCATTCATTTCAACCCTTATTACGTTCAATTAAACCCGCACGCTTCGCTGAACGCCAGTTCTATCCTTTTTCAATCACATCGAAATTCTAAAAACATCCTCTTAAATGACGAGAATAAAAATTTAATAACAATTTTATTAAGAGTATATCGCTAATTATGATATCCTTTTTATTCGAATTCCACTCGATCTCGGAGACGATGAAACGTAGAGACGAAGAAAGAGGAGCTGAAAGTTCTGCAGTAATACCTGCAGGAAAGTGGCCATGGAAAGGACGTATTGCCAAGAGAGGCGTGTGCATGGTAATGCGAAATAGCCGGCATTATCTCGTCGTAAATCACGTAAAAAAGAGGTTTGAAATGCGGAGGCGCCTATCGTCTGTCCGATTATTATAAATGTCTTCCTTTTTGCTTCACCGGCAAACGGATTTAACGAACGGAATTTCATGAAAATTCCCGATTTTCTATTCCCGATTGATTGCCGATGATCGTTGTACATCGATCGAGCGAAAATGAAACTCTCTCATCCGTCTCGCTTCGAGACAAATGAGAATACGACAAATTCTATGAAATTTTGTTTTTTTCAATTATATTCAGAATGACTTCTACGAATTGGCAGGTGTAAAATTTAATTGAATTGGATTTTTGTCGCGTACGCTTTATCGTTGAAACGTGACCCATGATGAATTCAGGTATTTTGCGATGGTAGACTCTGATAAAAATTTAAATTGATGTATTTAAATCAGAAATTTTACGTTTCATGTGCGATTGTTTTATCTGCGAAACTATATTTTCAGTAATTTTAATGTAGATTTTAGATATAGGTAATATAGTTTTGTTTAAATTTTATATTTCATTGTTGATAAAATAATGGTAAAGGTGATGGTAAAGGAAATAATATAATAACTCTATATAGAAGTATATCACGATTTTTGTTTTTCAATAATACAGGAAAATAATTCTGCTGAAAATTCCTCTCAAATTAATTCTGATAAATAAAGTAGTTTAAAAATGTTATTTAAACTCTGCACCGCTTGCTAAGCTCGAATTATTATAGTTTCCTGGAAACAGAAGTAGTTTGTCTTCTTTAAAAAAAATTAGGACGTACAATAAACCGATGTTACGTGTCCAAAGCACATAACATTTATCGAGCACTCTTTTATCACTCTTCATGAATATTTCTATCGTAAGTTCGCAAGCTGCACCGACGGAATTTCGAACCCGTACTTGCTCATTAACCGGCGTGTTGTTAACAAAAGCTACAACGCTGTTAATAATTCATATTTTATTAATGAAACCGGTGTATCAGATGAATTTTCACTTACAAACGCGGCCTGGTTAATGAAACGGACACACATGAATATTTGATCGTTAAACGTTATCATGGAAACGAGGTGTATAGGTGTAATGATCAAATAATAAAACGCAAAGTGTGTAAATCTGATGAGAGAGGGGTTCATGGGTATGTATTCAATAATCTTTAGTTACACATACTATTCGATAGCCAACTTATACAACTTATATGTAGATATTTTAAAACTAATTGTAAGAAATAAAAGAAATAAATTAGAAATAAGTTTATTTGAAAACATATGATTATTTTAAATAATAATGCAAAGTAAGAAATAAGTAATAGTAATATAGCTAATAAAACACACTTATGGTACTGGAGTGGTAGTACCACACATGACGAAAAGGCATCTGCATTTATTATTTAATATTGTCAGAAAAAAGTCAGCATTGTAAAAATCTATAAAGGATTTGTGAGAGTAAGTAAGAGTAGAATATTGATCGAAAGTAGAGGGTACTTACCCAGCGAAAAACATCAAAAGAAACCAGGAACCGGGTACAGCAACGACGAGGATCGCGTCTTCGGCGTGCCTATTCCCGGCAAGACGACACGGAATGCACGCGAGTATCAGCAGGTTGCTGATCAGGAATATCAGCTTGGCAGGCTCGTGACTCTGAAAGGCAAATGTGCAAGTGAAACGTCAGAGGTGGCGCGTATTCTTGCACGCTTTACGGCCTCCCGCAGAGGAATCGATAGGCCATGAAATTCCGTGGCAAAGGGAATGCATCGCAAACGAACTTAATAATTTAATCTCCATCTTCCACGCGACATTGTGTTTTAATCGTTCCGTGTAAAGGATTAGAAAGATATCGACGCGTCCACTGTTCTGATAACTTCATTCTTACGCTTTACCAGAAAAAATCGAGCACAACTATTAGATTTTATTTTATTCTTATTGTTAGTGTAATTATACTGTAAAACTATATTGTAATTAATCAAAAAGGTGTGAAACTTTCTTATTGTTAGATGTTAAAAGGGTTATTAACGATAAAACAACCATTTGTGGATGGATCCAAATGTATCCTATGATACATTTAGTAGACAAAGTGTCAAACAATGATATATTGTCACAAAGATACCATCTTGTGACAATAGGTAATAGGTAATAGGTAATAGGAACTTTTATAAATTCTATGGTGAAATTTGTGAAATTAACGAATTTATAACTACTGAAAAAAGGCGGCGCACAGCGTGTGACACGCGATAGTATTGTTACGCCTTCACCTCTTAACGATAAAGTTTTGTAGCCCGCTTAGAAAGATTTATCGTCAGGTTATTTATTACAAAGATGTTTAAAAGCTGAAATCTAAAATAACAATAAATCGTTACTATCAACTATTTTAAACATAATATACGGTAAACCGGGGGTGGTAGTAACAATTTGATTTTTATTATTAGAACACGATATTACGCAAAAACTATTACGACTATAATGCAACTTAGCCATATGGAAGTGACCGATAAAAAAGTAAAGCATTGAAAAATTACCAACTGTTTCAGGAACGACAGTAAACCAATGTTGATGATTTCACCGCCTAATTGGACCAGAATATAACTCAAGACGCCTATCACCGTGATACACTCGGCTATCGTGCGAGCAACTTCCGTTATTTCTTCTGGCCACTTCATAAGAGCAGTATCGACGTTTGAGGGCCTGAAGTAGACAGCCAGGGATAACGACGTCAGGTGAAATACCAAGATGATCAGACGCTTCAGGAACTGTAACTTTTATTGGAGAACGGTAACATTGATTACTAGCGAGTGATATGGTTGCTAGCAGTACGAGGGTCAATAATTATCCGTACTATTTCTATAATTTATTAGAACAACAGTGAAGGAGATACATATATATATATAAGACATTTGTTCCAGCGTTCTATACATATAGCAGGGATGGTTAAGAACATGATATTTGAGAATCCAATTACCTACCGTCTTAAGCCACTACCAAGATTGAAAACTTAATTATCTGTAATCAGTCGGCAACGGGGGCAACGTAGGCTTTTCTTGGTTAAGAGTAAGAATAGAGTTTTGGGCCTTGGGAGCTAGCCTAGTCAGCTGATTGAGGCCCGGGACAGGGAAGCCTGCCTTGCACCTTTTTGTAAAAGCACTTATGTTTCAAAATAGCAGGCGTGTAATAAGAAAATTTTCAGCTGATAATTAGAAACATAAACACTTTTCATCTTATGATGAAAATGGTAAATGTTTAGATGACCTTAATAAAGTGTAAAGAGTCTCAATTCTAATTAGTGCACTAGCAAAATTCTATGACACTTATTCGTTAAAATTGAAAATTTTATATTGATTTATTTCAGTTAACCGAAACGGCTTTTAAAATGGCCGTATACAAAGTTAACGGAGCGTAAACGCGTAGAATTGATTAAAAAATTCCGTATTTAAATACTGCCAGCTGGGTTTTTCATGCGAAACAATGGAAATAATATACTGCACCCTGTGACGCGTGTATTAGTTTGAAAATTTTCCCTGTTGAAGACAAAAAGCAGAACTCCTGTTCGAGCTAATAAAAGACATAGGTAGTAAGTATGTAGGTATGTACTTGGCAGTTTAATTCGATTTCAAATTTTTTTTTTCATTTATTTGTTTCTGCTGATGATAAGCTCTAATTTTTGTATTGGAATAATAATTATATTAATTTGAAAACCCTGTATAAGTACAACAGAATATTATAATGTCACAACATCCATAATGAATCCCAGTTATGGTGCTAATTATGGTCAGATTCAGACCGCATACAAGCGTCAAATGACCAATTATACCGTGATATTGTACACAGAGATTAGCACAATTTTAGAATAATTAATCACTATGCACATTGGATGGTAACAAGCCGTTGCGATAATCCTGTAAAGAGTGAAGAATTTATATTGAATATCTGCCAATATATTTTCATGTATTAATTAAATTTGCACACCCTCGATTTCAAGACACGAACCGTCGTCACTGATTCGTACAGAACATTATTCTTTACATTAAATCGTTCACTGCAAATGTATGAACGGTTTAAGGACATCTGCTCGTTAACCCTTTGGAGGTACGGAACAGCCCATTGGAGATACGGTTATGACCGCAATCAGTTGAACCGTACGACATCGACGAGCATCTTGCCGAGATCATTCAGAGATTACCGATATCCTGGTGAATATCCAGCTCTGAATAGAGATAAATCGCGCGTGTATTCAACGGTTGTAGAAAACGGTCCGTCGCGTCGCGTCGTCGTCGATGCTACTCGATCGTCCTCGCGTCGAGCACACTCGGATGACAATCACTCCGTCATTCGAACAGTTCTCGATGTCAGTCAATAATCGTTGAAATTAATTTGAAATGCTGCTGGGTTAATAAGTACACGCGATCAACGTTTTATGTATGCTCCTTAGCCCCCCAGGAATGATTAGAACGTACGATTGACATATGATATGCATGTCAATTATTATTGCACGTCTACTTGAAGGATAAAAATATTCGATAGGATGGAGTGTTCGATACATGATTGATAATTATGTTGATTTAGTGATTAATTGGCTGTCAAATATTAAATTATATGTGGTAATCGATAGAATTAATTAACAATACTATAAATTGTTTGCATAATGAAATTTTATTACTATTTTATTACTCAGAATTTTGGAATTCTGAAAAATAAATAATGCAGTTAAAAAAGTTCAAGCCTTATAAATAATTTTGATTTAATATATCAGATTTTGGAAAAAACAAGCCTATTTTTCAATTACCACGCATCGCGTTTCATCTATTATCTTATAATTAACAAGATTAATATTTTCCCGGTGCAATTATATGACAAAATACAATTAGAATTTTCCTTGAATTTACTTGGTAGACGGTTTATTATAGTAGGATTTGATCGGAGAAATATAGTTGATGGCTGAAGGATTAATGAAGAAAACTGTAGCATCTCCACGCGCGCGCGCGCGAGAAAGCGCATTCTGTTCGAAGCAAAGCAATGAAAAATGCCCGCAAAGGAACTGAGCGAGGAAGGATATCGTCACGTGGGCGCACTTACCCGCGCGAAGGTCTTCCATTTTTCCTCGAGTAATCGCTGAATAATACCACCGTCCAGCATGTCCAAGTGCTCCTCCTTGGTACCGTTCAGAATGATAAATAGCGCAGAGTTCCAGTCTGAAATAGAAATTCGGCGGGGACCGTTTCAGGTTAATGGAACATCACTTTACGCTCCACTCTGCCGCGATAATTATGGGTTTTACATTAGCGGCTATATGTATATACATGTATTAGATGCACGAGTTTCCGCCAGCTTTTTCTGTAACCATGCCACGTGCGGTGCTAAACTTTCTTGCATGTAAAGATAAAAGTTTACGTGGCTTCCGTACCGGGAAGAATTCCTCGGAATCGTTAATCCACCAGTCCAACTTGCCGCGAACCACCGAAAGTCAACTAATGTTAGTTCGATGTACTTGAATTCTCGTTGAACACATACCTAAACGGCTTTACCGGTAATTACTGTTTTATCAAAAGTTGTATTAATGTAACGAGGGATGAACTTTTAGAGAGTGAATCTTTATCATTTACGACTATTAAAGTCAGAGTTAACTATTTACTGTTGCAATAGTTTAAGAAAAAAAAAAAAAAAATTTTTTTCTTCATTATTACAGTGGCAAAGAATGGACACCTTTTTCGAAAGCACCCTGTAACTGTATATTCAATGAAATCGCAAACTTTCGAGACACTTTAAGCCACCGTGAAAGCAGCTTTGCCTGGCTCGACGGACGGCTGATTAAAGAGTCTGGGAAAACGCGATCGAGCCTTAGAGCATCGCGAAGAATTTCACGCCGTGAAACGAATCCGACGATCGCGGCATACGCGAAACTTCGCCAAAGTTACCAGGGAAGTCAGGTGAACAAGGTTCGATAATCAATACGGGGAGTGACACGGTTCAAAGTTCATTGCCCGTTGTTCGATATTTGTCAGCTCTCCAAATCTTCTACACCCCCCGCTACGTCCTCGGTACCCCTCTGTCTCTATACATTTATCGTGTATTTATCGATGAACGGATGCAATATAAATGCGTGGGAATCGAAGACCGTTTAGAGCAGATGCACTTTCGGAAACGTTACAAATCAGCGAATACTAGCAAATGGAGCACAGACGGAACGTATTCTATGTATACATATAGGTTAGAGCGGTTCAGAGCGGTTCAGAGCGGTTCAGAGACCATAAATGAAAAATTAATCATCTTAAGATTGCATCCGAAAAACGTGAATTATTTTTTAATATTTCACTCTTACCTGCCTATAGGTGCTATTAAAAGACACATCTCATTCAAAAAAGACGACGCAGATTTATTCTGACTTCATTTACGAGTAGTTTAAAATTGGGCACTCGGTGTAGGTACTAACCTATACTCGTATTCCAAGAAAGCACGATAGTCTTGAACGTTTAATCTTCAATTTTACGTGGTATACTGTTAGATCGGTGGACAGGGGACCCGAACTTTGCGCAGACGGCGAATTTACTGGAGTACATGGTCGTTACCGCAACTCGTAATTATATCTAACTCTAGAGCAGCCTCTGAGAAGTTTTCCCTGACGGTCTAGTGGCTCTCTTCTCTCCCCACCCTCTCTCTTCCAACTATTCTGGATCTATGGTGATGACCAGTCCGCAAAAACGGACGTTCAACCAAAGTTGAATAACGATTTGCCTTTGCCGCTTCGCTAGCCGCTATCACTGATGATCATCCCTAAGTGCTGTGCTCGGATAATTATTAACGTTTTAGCAGAGGCGGCCATCCGTGTTCCCCATAATCGATTTAAGCTATCTTTCCGAGCTTAATTCCATCAGGGAACATCAAAAGTCGATAGCTGCTGATATAATAGAGCGGTAGATTGTATCAGAAACCTCTGTCCCCATCAACGCACACGCCCGATGGATTTTCATGGAGGAAGTCGATGGCAAAGTGGCGTCAGAAAATTCATCGATCAATTTAATCGGTATTATCGGTTTCTTCATCGATTGTCACTGAACGATAAGTATTACTTTCATAAGGCACTTTCACTGCCCCCTTGCGCAATTAAATTAATATTATTACTGAAATTTTATAAATTATCTTGACCTAACCTAATCTAATCATTAATGACCAGAAGGGTCGATCAGGTAAACCTCTAGCAGAGGAAAGGTGTTGCATTTGCTCTTCTAAGCTCTCGTCTAAAATCAAATAGAAATGAGATAAGGATGTGTTCCGGTAACTTTACGTTAGCTTGCGAATAAAGTACAGAAGAATCCAGCAGAAACAAAAACGCGAAAGAAGAGAAGAAGCGAGGAAAGTGTGGATTTTGGTTATACTGGTTTACCCGCCAGGCGGGTTGGTTGGCTAACTAACTAACGGACCCTGGCTGGCTGGCTGGCCTTGGCTTACAGTAATTAAGCATACCCGTAGAGGGGTGCAAGCCAAAAGTTCACCCCCTTCTGATATACTCTCTCGGCTGAGCTATCGGTGAATCCATCGGATGACATTCGCGCCGTGCTGGCAAAGACGGCTATGCTTGGGAACGAAGGAAAGGAGAAAGATAGATAGATAGATAGATAGATAGATAGAGAGAGAGAGAGAGAGAGAGAGAGAGAGGTGGGTGAAAGGATAATGGATTCCGAAACTAAATGAAACGCGAGCACCCGACTCCTCGTCCGCGGCTAATCTCGAAACTTCGTTAAATGGCCGTAATTGCATCCTGCAACGACCCGCTTTCCCTTGTCTTCTTCCTTCTTACCCTTCGTCCTCTCTTCATCCCCCAGCTAGCAATGTGGAACGGGTTCCTGTCGTTGCACAATCTTCCAGGCATCCTTGCTCTCAGCTATGAATCACCTAAACGTCGAGAAAACTCGTCGATAGTACGCTTTACACGAGATACGACACGAGACAATCGGAAATTTGGATGCAATTTCGCGAAAGTCCGATTGCCAACCCCTTTAGATGCAGATCGTAGTTAAGCTACGCGACGCCTTTCTGACGGAGATGAATTTCATGGAAATTAGACGACGGGATATTGAGCTCCTCTTCGATAATGTATAAGATATGAATCCTACTAATCTAATCTCTTGGTAAACAAATTTAAGTCCCACTTCGGCCCTGAAGTTACAGACAGATTTATTAACCACTCGATCCTGACTTTAGCTGAATTCTTTCGGTGGTTTGACCAAAAGTAAAGAAGAAAAATTAAGCAGTTGTGTAATCTATTAAATAAATGATCAATTCATCATATCTGAACTACATTCGTCAAAGAAACGTCGATCGTAATTAGAAAAAGGTAGGGCAATTACGTAGCATTAGCGAGTGTACTCGGCAGCGACTTAAGGCCAGTTAGCGGGTCCTAACAATTATGCGAAGACACGTCACAAAGTGAGTGGCCACTTGAGCGTGGCTCGTGAACAAAGAGGCCAGGACGACGACGATTCTCGAAAGCGTGTAATTCGATTAGCAGCATTACGACGTACTTGTTCTGCCGTCGGGTAACAGCGTGTCGAGTGCATTGAGGGGGTACGCCGAACAGGTGATATTACTGTAGCGCCAGAATTCTCGTGCAGACAGTTCCAACATTTCACGGAAGACCTCTGCACGACCCAGCTGGCAGGCGAGCGTCAATGGGGTCAGTCCAGCCGCGTTCACGATCCCATTGCGAGCTGGAAGCTTCGGATGTCGAAGAGCATACCCGAACATATCCTGCGTTAGACAACCACCTTTTTACATATCAACTTTCCACGCTCTTCTATTCTTTTACCATGAATCGAAACTCGTCAAGTTTTAGTCATCTACTAGTCTTTTCAAACAGACAAAATAATAATATATCACAAACAATAAATTTTATTAGATACGGTGTAACAAATACATAAGCAACTATGTAGTAATTTAATAAGGTTCATAAAAAACATGTAAACCAGGTTCAGACGTTGCTACAAAGCTTTGCAAAATGATATTGAACCTTTGCTCTTTGATCTTTCTCAATCAAGGTATTGTATATCAGGTGTCACCATAAACAAAGCATTCTCGTTGCTTAAAAAATACAGGTCAAAGTACTTGAGTGTGATATTTTATTGCCTACGTGGTTATAAAACATCCATTAAAATGAAGGAAAGTAATTAAAAACAATTCGAAACTCTGTTTCTAATTACTGTTACAAACTTTGCCTTGATAAGCTACTGCATTATGTTCCATTATACCATACACAGGTAACTTTCCATATATGTATAGGTACTGTTACCCTCCGTATAAAAATAATCGAATCTAATAAGAAAATCACGCGGTTACATAAATTATTCAAAGCCAAATACAGCAAATTGAAAATAATAATATGAAAAAAGATTTTAATTTGATTAAAAATGATTATTTTATAAATTTTAATAAACACTCCTGTAAAAAAAAAGCAAAGGTTTATCAGGTTTTATTTTAATTAAGTAGGTATGTAACATAGGTGCAAGGTTAAAAATAGGTTAGAATAGGTAATTTGGTCACGAAAATATTTCAAGCCCATTGAGAAAAAAACTTACCAATTTATCACAGACTACCACCATGTGTAGTATCATATTCCCAAAAGAATCCTGCTCGTCAGGATCAGCGCCGGAATCGAGGAGCAAGTTATAAACGCTCTCGTTCGCGCAGCAGGCAGCCCAGGCGAGAGGATACTCTCCCAAGTAGGCTAATCCCTCGTAATCCGTATTCTTGGCCGGGTTCATTCGTTGCTGGTCCCTGGGTAGGAAAAAAGTGCCGATTGCGCGCTGAGAAATAATCGCGCCCGCTTCGACAAGGTCTTGCACCAGTTCGTTATTATTGTACGCGATAGCCAGGTGTAGTGCACTAGCGCCGAGGTATTCCTCGCCCTCGACCACGTCGATAGCCAATCGTGGAAAGCACTTGAGGAGGATACGCGCCACTCGCGTGTGTAACCTGCTATCGCATATGATCAGAACATGCAAGAGGGTCTCCCCTAAGGAGCCTCTGTATTGCATCTGCCAGCATGCCTGATGATCGTTCCATTGTGCCAGAGGATCGAGCCGTGACAAGGAAGCTTCTATCGGAAGTACGACTTGCTCGAGGTCCCGGAATTTCCAGCGTAGATACTCCGCCCGATTGATCACCTGGCCCTTCCCGTCCGCGTACATCAGTACACCGAACTGTTCCCTGATCAATTTTTCCACCTCCGGTTGGCCGCCTTGATTATACGCGTCTATCAGTTCGCCACTCTTTTTGTAATTCGCCAAACGATATAACAGACATTGGTCCTCGTCGCTCGCCTGACTGATCACACGGTCGAGGATCGAGCCAGCGTCAACTTGGCTACCGCGACCTCGACAGGAGCAGACACCACCCATTCAGACATCCCTCTTTAAGACTCTGTCACTGACGTTTGTCCACACTCGATCCACTCGTACGCTTATCAGCCACCAGCCGAGCGAGATCCTCCTCGAGTGTTCTCTGCTCTCCTCAAGAACAACGACGATTCTCCCATGTTTGAACGGTAACCCTCCTATGGCTAACCACGATCAACTTCGTGCGGAGACGGTCCTTGAGATTCCATCAGGCCGACGAAAGGTGGCACACAGGTGGAACAGAGTTTTCAGGCTATAGCAACCGACAACCGGCAGGCAGGTAATCTATAAACAGTGCCTGGCTCCGGTAGACACGGTAGGGTCACTGGGTGATGCCTCAACTCTTACATCCCTATACATAGAAATTAATCTTTTTCTTGGTACATTTATTGTTAGCAAAAGATAGTTTTTGTTTTTTCCACCTATTGGAATTTTACACGTTTATATTTTTAAGAAAAAAACTGTATTCCTAGAGTGACGGACAAATATTCGTTCCACTTTTTGTTCGCTCGACCTTAGCACAGATCGTGACGTCTGGGTATATGTACTCGTTCAACTTTAAAACCCGATTGGAAGCGAATATAACAACGAAAACTCATTCTCAGTTATAACTTTAAAAAGAAGCAACTACATATGTATATTGCTTTCTACAATTTCAGATAATAAATAATACATATTAAACTATCCGAGTTACTATACAAATGAAAGTAAAATAATTTTCTTCAGAAAACTTTATTTCCAATAAGGTATCTTTTATTGGCAAATGTCTATGTTTGACGTTAGTAACGAAAGGGTTAAAAGTAGCCGTAATCGCATCAGAAGAAGACCAAGACACAGAAAAATCTCTTAAATCCGCACTTCCTCCAAAGACTCATACCCGCATTTTTTCTATGTTTATTTCAAGAAAAGCTGTATTGAAGAAACGGGGAAGAGCACACGTTTCGAGGAATACGAAAAGTTCACCAGATTGCCGTAGCGGAATACCAATTTACTTACGGAACATATGTAACATCCTTTTTGATAAGATCACGCTTCTGGAAAAGGGTGCATGTTATTTTCCTCGAAAATATAGAGAATCAATAAAAATAATGAAAAATCCTAATAATATCAACAAGAGGGGATTGCACTTCAACCCTACATGCAACAATCTTCTTTCACTTTTTTAATCGATCAACTGACCAACTAAATATTAATTACCGATCACTGATCTAAAAATACCGTAAGGCATATCTCAAGACACATCGCTATCAGTGGATCTTTCAACTTGACATCCAGAAGTCATCCAGAAGTATTCGCTGCCACTGTCGAAACATTGTCGCCGCATGATATGTCACCCCATGTGCCGGGCGTCAACAATGTGTCGATAGCATGACTATCTATCACCACCACCCATCAAAATAATGCTGAGACCACACACCGTGTGTGTGTGTCCATATTTGATTAATAAAAGGAACCGCCGAATCGATGACACCAGGAAATTCTCTATAAATTCTACGACTTTAATGCAAAAACAATGAGCCAATTATTTTCACGAGAATAAGATCAACTGTTTATTAGAATCATTCCGCGTTCCAGAAACGGCGCGATAATAGCCCGACGGCAAATTTTTCTCGGAAGGAGTTGAATAACGATCGCAAACGTCATTCGGTGGTTTGCCATGGCCGCGTGATTCAAAAGCAACGTTATTTGTCGTTGATTCGATGAATGGTGAAACCGGAATGCAGCTTTCCAAATTGACATTCAGCCGATGAATAAGAGTAAATCACTCCACGTGTATGTACACGTCTGTCGTTCGTTGTACACACGTTAGCACGTGGAACAATGAAATAGAAGCGTGTACAATATACATTTAACCCGATGGAAGTGTATTTATCTTTTTCGGCCGGATAATGCATAGTTCGCAGGAATACATACATACACCGTGCAACAGCATATCGTGAACGTAGAAAATCAATCAAACGTCGCGAAACATTTTTACTATAATAGCAAAATAATATTTTTTAATTGTTTTCTTTTAATTATAGACCCCCACAGCATTTGACATGATTATTAGTTCGTGGAAAGTTTATTAAAGCGAACCGGTTGAAATTCCTAATTTATGTTATGTAATCTACTTTTGTTTTCCTCGACCAAATCGCGCAATTCAAGAGCTCTCGAATCTTCTGAACACATCATCGTTTCTACAGGTATACCATTCATGTTGAAGGAGGAAATACATATGTAATATGTAAATGTAAGTGTATATATGGACGATGTTATTACGATATTTCCAGCTGCGATGACTCAACATTTGCGTCGCACAATCGTGCTGGTACCAGTCTCATCGTCAGTCAGAGGATCGCATTTACTGTCATTGCACCATTAGTAACTGATAATGAGAAGGCTGCCGCCACATTATCTAAAGAATATTCGGTTGACAATTCTCCACATGACTATTGTTATGTCTTGCAACGTGAATAAATAACGCTATTTCTATTCGGACCAAGTTTTCTTTTAATGTAACGCTTATTTTCTAGAAACTCGTTTATCATCGTAAATAACTAAAATAAAAATAGAGCTTATCAACTGCACGCTGCGCTGTATTAACAACTTGGTATTATTAGAAACTTCGAGTAACTGTTTGCTACTAGTAATTAGTGAAGCAATTAGCAGTTTCTATGAAAATTCTACAAATATGAACACTTGTTAGCTGGTAAAAATTATAGTACATAGTTACAATCATATCTCCAGCCGTTACTTCGTTTCTTCGTTTCTTCGTTTCTTCGTTTCTTCGTTTCTTCGTTTCTACGAATCGCGTGTCCGATAAAAGCGACATATAAATGTTTACGTAGTAAAGATATATTAAGGAAAAAGGAAACTGTCATTGCAATAAAATCATACGGAAAAATTATTCTCTCGACAGAATCGTGAAGCGGACATACTATCTACGCGAGACTTTATGGAGATCGATAAAACACCGGAAATCCCCGTACATTTGAGCGCGACCTGCGTTGTTTACGAGACATCGAATTAACGTTTGTGCCTAGTCTTCCCAACGAAATAAATCCACGGGAACTGATGATCGTTCGATTTATTCTATGCTCGAATTTCACGACTTCAACGAACCAATGGAACGGAACATTGTATACAGAAAGTGAATTGATCCGGCGTTATTACAGGATATCGTAGAATTAACGAGGATTGTGCTTATCAAAAATTTCTTTTATTTTATTTTTCGATGGATTCGCCGTTGCCCATATTATTTTATCTAGTTGACATCTGACCTCTTTCCGTTGGTATTTTCTATCAGTTATTATTAACTATTGCATGTACAAAAGGTATGACAATAATCGACAAGTTTTACAAATTGTAAATTAAATTAATATAAATTAAAAGATACCTTTTAGAAAAATTTTTGTTTCAATAAAAAGTACGAAGATAAAATCTGTATCAAATAAATATTTCGAATAATTTTCTAACTTTTCAATGTCAATATAGAAATGGATATGCAGGTTATTGATACAAGAGTAAATCGGACCATATCCACTGGTGTGATGGAAAAAGTTAAAATATTATGAAAACAAGATCGCAGTCGTTTGGTGAAACGCAAATTTGCAAAATCGCCGGCGATCTGGAAAATTCACCGGAACAGACACAGCTGCGTTGATGAAACTTCACTTCCAATTCTGTATTCCACGCTCGTATAATTGCTAAACGTGCGGCATAACGGTTCGTACATGCGACCTTCAAGTATCGGGCATTTACTTATACGGCCATTTAAACTATTTGATCAGTGACCCATGGAAATCGTTCCATTAACTCGTAAGATAGACTATGACTATCCGTTTCTTAAAAAATTCATCAATAAATGGTTAACAATGGCTAAACGCGTGCCATAATAGCTCGTACATGCGACCTTCGGGTGTCTCAGACATTTATTTCTACGACCATTTGAATGTAACTTAAGATCAGTGAATCATGGAGGCTGTGAACTATCAGCGTTCAAAGCACACTACTTTTTAAGTCGAAAATAAAATAGAAAAATATATACTTAAAGAATAGGAAAGCATGTTAAAAAAAAAGTGAAAATTCCTATACAATTTCATTCAAGTTTTTATGAATATCTCTTAATTACAAAGTTACATGATACTTCGAAAGTGAATTATTTACTTATCAATCGAAAGTAATACCACTTTACGGCAATTATATGAACCTATCTTGTTTTTCCATCTATCCTGACAATTTTCGTCGATCGGCAGAAACTCGTTTTCAAATGTTCTGATTTACCTTGCATCTCTCGACTCGAGATTCGTAATGCTGAATGCGACGTGTGTACTTACATACATATATGTATATCCGTTTCAGTTGAAACGAGGTTAAAAGTTAAAAAGTCTACTTATGCCTTTGACGATTACGACTAATTATTAAGTATTCCACCAGTGCTGTTGCGTGTACAGTTACTCTTTCGTTACGGATAGATGAAATGATCAGTTACATTGGTCAGTAAACGTGTCATTAACGCGTTTCTTTCGTGTAAAATTTTTTAATATTGCCAGAGGATAAAAAAATAAAACGTGTACAAGTTGGTTTGTCGATTGAAAACACGCGAACCATACATACCTATATCGTATGTACAAACAGAATTAACATTTGAAATGACGAAAGTTAAAATTAAAATAAATAAATAAAATAAATTGAACGTAATTAAATCGATTAACAACGGAATGATTCAATGTTGAACACCGATTTCTAAGAAGACTTATTATAAAATTATAAAATTATAAAATTTAATGTACAATTGAAATGTTACGTTTGAAACACCAGTTCCCGAATTTATATGTATACAATACTTATGTATATACCATAAGCGCTAAAAGTGTGATGCATAGGAACGTATCAGGGAACAAATAACGCAGCTGCAGCTGACTGTTATATGTCCATACCTTTTGTAAACTATTAGCTGCAGCAACGCCTTTCAAAGTGTTTATGCCCGATCATTAACATAAAATGACATATTCGTGATTCGAGGAACAATAACAGAATTTGTTCGTCATGTTCACGGAGTTGTCCATTCCCTCTCATTAATATAACTGCTTTCATTATGCAATTCCTGTATGAAGTTTACGACCACCATTAATACCATCAACAATAATGTTTACACAATTATTAAACATCGTACAGCACAGAAGGAGATTAGTAATACCGAGAAAAATCGCGTCGTGAGTCAAGCTACGCGCCGCATAGCCACGTGACAGGGAGGTCACGTGACCGGCGCACGGAGCGTCGGGATTGGCCGAGCGACGGACGAACGGTCTCATATAGAGTGGCACGAGGTAAAAGCCGTAGCGCAAAGCGTCAAGCGAGTTTGAGTGAGCTGGTTCCGTGAATGACCTTGATCCTCTCGTGTGTTCTGTGACAATCTCGTTCCTCCAAACCGAAGCCATCAGTACTAATCGAATCATCGTTGTAGAAAGTTATCCGAGCAATTTCCAAACAGCACAAGAAAACGACAATGAAAACCCTCAGCGGCGTATTGTTAGTGGCGGCGTGTCTCCTCGCATCCACGCACGGCTTCCCCGGTAAGTACACCACTTTCTTTACAATTACATCGTTGATTTTTAAAACGAAAACGAAAACGAAAACGAAAACGAAAACGAAAACGAAAACGAAAACGAAAACGAAAACGAAAACGAAAAACTACGAATAAGTGTATAAAGGGACAATTTGTTCAGAAGTAATTACGGTGACAGATGGATTGTTCGCGTTCAACGTTAACTAATTTTTCTCCACTCGACGACAAACTTTGACGCACGTTTTCATTCTAAACTCGTAGCTTCTTAAACGATCCAACGTTTTTTTCTCGACGAACAAATAAACGGACGTAGACAAAGCGGTCGAATTCCTTGGCAATAGTTAAGGTCATATTCGTGATCTTGTCGCGTGACAGCTGAGCAAATGCTGCTCCCAGCGAAAGGAGCATGCGTGTACATGCGCGGAAGAGATATACATACATATAGATGAAGGTTATAGGGCGCTCGAAAAGTTACGTTCAGTAACCACAACCTGTTTGTTTTGTACAGAACGTTCAATTTAGGTTACAATTCCGTTCTTCTCGTTTTCTCATCTGTAACTTTGATAATGATGTCATAAAGGGATTTCGAATACATATTAACCAAAAATAAGGTCAGGAAAGAAACCGATTCAGGATGTCGAGTGACTCATCATAACAATTGTAACGACTGGATCAGTCCGTTCGATATCGAGTCGTCGCGTCGCGTCGCGGAGAATTGAAAAACATTTTTTTCGTTTGTTTGCTACGAACAACGGGTCTCGTGTCGAATATTTATCACTGTCGTACGATATACCTATACGTTTAGAATAAACGTCTCGAAACGTTTAATAATAAACATGAAGAATAGATAGAGTTGGTAGTTGAGCAGATTAAAGTGAAATAGACTCGTTTGTAACGTTCGTTCCTTGAATATTCTACGACTTTCTGCTCTGTGAATCCTTCCGCTTCTGAATACGTTGAGGCATGTACGTTTGTAAATGGACTTAACTTTTCGCGGAGGGAACGTTTTCCTGCCAGAACAAAGCCATCTTGCTATATAACTTGGCGAATCAAGAGCCGCTTGCCCGCTGCTGTTTTATACAATTTTATGCGAAAAGTTGTACGCTAGATAAGCGTATGCACAAAATACTCATTTTTTCGCGTTCTTCGTCCGACGCGCGACTTGTGGAAACGGGAATATTGCCAATTGGCATACGTCTACTTCATTTCCACGGCGCCGAGCCACCACGCCACGTCTTAATATGGTGCATCAATTAAAGTTATGCCGCTTTAAGAATTTAACGTTTCGCTCTATGCGCGACGTGGCGTTGAAATTACTTTAATTCTTCAACACCGAACCCTGGGTCAATCGTGACCTAAACTTACAAAGTATACATATATGTATAAGGATATTATGTATAATTTTTAAACGAAAGAATTTCATATATTGAAAGAATAATTTTTAGAACAGAATATTATTATTATTATTTGAGATAATTGTCACCTCGTCTTGTAATATTTAAAGCATTTTTCTGAATAATCAGAAACTTGTGGTACTTGGACCGTTTACGAGGTACATAGTAAGGAGATAGTTCTTAAAGCATCCAGTCCTTTGGATTGCTATGAAATTCACTTGGACCGTAGACTTTGCTAATTAGCGTCGGCGTCGTTTTTACTGGGCCGTAGGGGGGAGGGGGGCTCGTTTAATTGGTGCCGTTTCGTTCCGAAGATAATTGTTCAAATGAATTTCTGTCGAACTTCAGTTTACTTCGTGTAGTTTTCATCCAACTTTCCTGTCAGTCAATTATTTGATAAATGTAGGTCAAAGCGTTCTCCGATACCGGGAAAAATTTCATCCATTCTATATACATACCACTTTGAACGTTATAATTGAATAAAAGGCGAAAGAAGGTAGTAGAAATTACGTAAAATGAGGAAAAACAATGCGATGCCCTTGTAGATTTCTTAATGGGTTGACTTTAGAACATCCCATATACATATACGCAGTGCTTACACTCTGTAACTACGTATTAATATTTGCAACAATTTACAAACCCCAGTGTAGAGTTAGATGAATAAATTGATGACTGCTTGTGGAACATATGCAAGTGTTAGTATTTCTCGGTACTTCACGAACATGTTTTTACTCTGCAATTGCGATTCGTTCCACAAGCAGTCATCAATTTATTCATCTAACTCTACACTGGGGTTCGTAAATTGTTGCAAATATTAATACGTAGTTACAGAGTGTAAGCACTGCGTATATGTATACGGGATGTTCTAAAGTCAACCCATTAAGTAGTTTCATATATTCAGTAAATATATTATATTTTTATAATAATTCGTAACAGAATAAAGATTTCTTTCCATGATGTGCTAAATATCTACTTGATATTTCAGCGAATTAGTTTAATTTTTTCCATTTTCGTTCAAGAAACGTGAGATAATTTGAGAAAAGTACTCCAGACATTGAGAACACAAACTTAGGTAAGAGGTGTCCAGTTATCGATAATCTGCGAATCAATACTAACGAAGATAAAAGCAAACAGTGTGTGTATTTGCTCGGTCATATTTTTACAAAAGAAATCTCTGTATTTACCTGTTATCGAAAGAAAAAAGGAAGTTGAGATGTTAGTCTTGCAAAATTAGTATAGAATAACATCAGCATTATCGAATTCGATAACTTTAACTGATTCTTGCCATAAGCTTTATTTGACATTTTGACTCATTGGTAACATGCACCAACAATGATAGCAATAACTGCTAATAATAGTTACTTATCAAAATGGGTCATAGGATAAACAGAAAAAAGAAAAGATGAAACTGTAAAACTCATGACTTCCAGTTGAAGATCTATATTGTACTATGTAATACTTTTTAAATATACATTTTGATTATAAATACCCCTTAGCCTAGTATTAAACTCCGCAACTTAGCCCTAATCTAGCTCCAACTCGTATAATCTAACCCTACCCCCATAACCCAAACCTAGCCTCCCCTAAACCATGACCTTGCTCCAATCCCCATAATTTAACACTCCCACCATAACCTAGTCCTAACCCTGGAACTTAGCTTTAATTTTTCAACTTTGCATTAATCACCATAATATACCCCCATAACCAAGCTCTGACCTTCCAACATATCGTTAGCCTTAACTTTTATTAAATTAATTAAATACTCTAGATTTTTACTAATAAAGTAAATTAATCTATGGGCTTGTAATAACAAAATACATTTTTATTTCTGGTTCAGTAAAACGTAAAAAGTGTAAAATACGTTTAAATACGTTTAAATACGTTTGGTAACGCGAACCTTACTCGATGAAGAGCGAAAATAACTTTATGTTACATTTGTAATTTAAATTAGCATTGATAATTGCTGTTTACTGTTCAAAGTAGGAATCATGGGAGATTAAACGGTGGATTTGAATAAATGATACATATTAAAGCTGTTGGTGACGTGTATGGTCGTCCGAATAATAATTAGTAATATAAATATAAATTTATCTTTACTTGGGAATTACTTATGACTTTTAACATATACCTACATATAACGTGTGTGCTTCTGATAGCCCCGGGTTCCAGAAATCTGCAAGGGGTTTCACTTCCTCCAGTGACGAATTCACGCGACAGTAACGCGTCCAATCGATCATGATCGCTCGTAAATTAATTTGAACCACGGGATCGGCCTGGCCAGAGTTTAATTATGTCGCGAATAGGATACGTGACTAATTACTTCCGACGTCGTTCGATCATTAATTACTTTATCCAGCATATCGCGAGGCCGTTGTCGTTTCTCTTTTTCCACCGTTCGACGTCCACTTTCTTCCTCTATCTGTGCATACGTATTTACGCATCCGTTGCGAGCGTAAATAGGATGTTTGCGCTTCCTCGCGCCGCCGTTTCGTGTCACGCTCAGTTGCTCGGTTTATTGTGTATACGTAAATACCTTTGCCTCCTATCCACCGGCTTAATAACCGTCTGCTACCGTTTCTCCTCTCCTTTCATGCAAAAAATTCGTTAACAAACGGCTGAATTCTAGAATCACGACGCTTTTGTTATTGCGATACGCATGATATAAGATGAGAATTTAATACGTCTTTCATATTCTGTATTTTACTATGTTTTGTTCTACTGCGGATGTAATGCGATGCACATGGGTTCAGTTGTATCGACGATACGTTTCTAATATAAATTAACAAAAGCCAGATTGTATCAACACGAGACTAGATCCACAATAGGTACAGCTTCTCGGAATCGGATCAAGGGAAGGTCTAAGTGTTAACGACCTATCTATAACGAATATGTATCACCTGATCGGGAGAAGAATTTGTAATAACGCAAGGCGTGCACAGATTGATTGAAATTAGGGTCAGCCAGTAAGGGTATGCTTTTCTTGTTAGTGTTTCAATTATTTTATATCTGCGCACGAAACGCAGCCACCGATTATCGGCAAATGGTATTATTTTGCCCGTCGAGAACAGGCCAGCGATCCGTGTTGGCGCAGTGTGGTGTTGTTCGGCTTGCCTTGAATGGCACTGGCAGCGTACAATATGCGGCCATTAGGTATGCCGGCCGCGTCGCAGCGCACTACCTACCGCCTTCCTTCGAGTAATTTAAATGAAAAAAGCCAGCCAGCCAGCCAAGCAAACTGCTACCGGCATGCTTTTTCCCTCCCTCCGATGATAGCTGCATTCGTTTCGCCGTCCTTTAGGTCAGCTCTAACGCACGTTCTCTAGGGGGGTCAATTTAGCGCACAATCATGAAACACGTTATCAACGATTTAGCTTATTGAGCATTATGGGAACCCACGGGAGGGCATATCATAGTTGCTGACAATCGATGAAGGGGGGGCGATAAGATAGTCGTATCTCTACTCACCTCTACCTATTGTTCTGTTAAATGCAACGCTCCTTGGTCTCCAGGATGACCAAGTGAAAAGACTTCGGATGTCTTAATTAGATTCTACATACCTTCTAAGTTTCATGGTTGTTTTTTCAAAACTGACAGAGTTAGAGCAGATTTTCTA